TAGGCAAGAGACAAATGAGTCGCTCTGGGGCTCAGTTTTCTCATCTGTGAAATGGGCGGCTCCAGGGCTGCAGACCCAAGGTCATAAATTTCTGCTCCAGTGATTGGGGCATGAGGTCTGGGAGAACTTCGTGACTACCATGTGGACAGGAAGGACTGGGAATGGAGGGAAATCAGCCAGCACAAACCCAGAGGAGCTGTTTTTGAGCACTTATTGAGCATGAAACACCAAGTAAACATAAAATCAAGTTCACACTGGCATCCCTAAGCACTTTCTTTGCTCTTCCTGCAAACAGACGAGGCTCTCTTTCACCTCCAGGCCTTTGCATTGGCTGTCTCTTCTGCCAGGAACATTCTTCCCCTGACTCCTACTCTACCTGGTGAGTCCTTACATAACCTTCAAACCCCAATCCCATTGTACCCCTCCCAAACAGAGCCCGGGATTTAAGCCTCAATTCCAGGGCACAGGGAGCCTCTTGTAACCAACTCTGACTTCTCCCCAGATTGGGGAAAGAGCCTGGGAAAGTTGAGAAAGGGCAGGGTCAAGGTGGGACCCGAGAGCTGTTGTGACCTATCCCACCTTTCCTGGGGACCCCTCTCTCCCCAGTTAGCGAGGTCATGTTGCCTAGTGACTAGGAGAAAGTGGGCTCAGGTCAAACTGTCTTTGTTGGAGTTGCAGCTCTGCCATTTCCTCACTGAGTCACTTGGCCTCTGCTCTCTCATCTGTAAAACAGGAATCATTAACAGTGTCTACCTCAGGACTTATGAATATTAACCCATGTGTGCACCCTAGGCGTGGGTTATTGTTTTTATCAATGATACTGTCTCCACTGTCCCTTCTCCCAGCTGCTCTGACCCATGTATCCACTCGACTGGGCCAAGACATGATGTCCCTGGCACCATTCTCTCCTTGGGGTGCTTTTGGTGTGCTTCTGCTACCTGTGTGTATCCACAAGCCCATTTGGTCCCATAAGTTCACAATGGACTCTCACACCACAGCTCCTAATGGGTGAGCAGGGCCCGTGTCCTCTGGGGGAGCCCAGCCAGGCCTCCTTGGGGGGTCCCCCCGCCCATCCACCCCTGCTTCTCCTGCTGTGGACATGGGCATTCAACACCCCGCAGCTCTGTCCCAGTGCTCAGAACCGTGGCCTGGCACAGCTGACAGCCACCTGGCCATCGACCGCAGCGTGTACCCTCGGGTGGACACAGCCCTCATGCATCCCTGAAAGGTTAGCTACTGACCGCAGGCGCAGCTTCCGCCGTCCCTGGGGCCGCCCGGCCAGTGCTGCGTCTGGTTTAACACGGCACCGCCCAGCTGCTACCCACACTGAGGGCCTGTATGAGTACTTCAGTCTCACCATGTCCTTCCACAGAGACTAGGACATCACGTGGCACGGTTGGCTGGAGCCATGGCCTGGCCAGCCTCTGGATGCACCAGTCAACCTCTCAGCTAACCTGGAGCTGGTGGCCTGGGTGGTGTCAACCGGAAGAAGGATTCGACCAGATGCTTGACATGTATGGGCACTCCCACAAGCCACTGCTCCAGATGGTCATGACCCAATAGCTGTCCCAGTACAAGTTATATCTGGCTTTTGAGAACTCACACCCCAACTACATCACAGAGAAGCTGTAGAAGAATGCCCTGCAGGCCTGGATCATGCCCATGGTGTTGGGCCCCAGCCGGAGGAACTATGAACAATTCCTGCCTCCTGACACCTTCATCCACACAGACAACTTCCAGAGCCCCAAGGAGTTGGGCCAGTATCTGCTGGCACTGGACAAAGACCATGCCCGCTATCTGAGTTACTTTCACTGGTGGGAGACACTGCAGCCTTGATCCTGCAGCTGGGCCTGGGCCCTGATGTTCTGCAAGGCCTTCTGGCAGCTGTACCAGGAGTCCAATGACCAGGCAGTGACCAGCATAGCCTCTTGGTTCAGATGAGCCCACCAACCTGGGGCCTCATCTGCTGGGGACCTCAACTGCCAGCCTCTTCTGCTTTCAGAAACCTCACCTGCCAGGGGCCTCATCTACTGGGGGTGCAAAGGGGGAGTTTCACATGCTGGGGGCCTCACCTCCTAGGGATCTCACCTGCTGGAGACCGTGGTTGTTGGAGATTTCACTTACCCAGGACTTTACCTTCTGGGTACCTCTGCTTCCAGGAATCTGGGCTCCAGGAACCTTACCTGCCAGGGGCCTCACTTGCTGGGGAGGGAAGTGTCTCCCCTGCTGGAGATGTTGGCTGCTGGGGTCCTCCCCCACCAAGGCACTCACTGCCTTGGCTCTGCTGGGTCTGCTTGCAGTTATTATCACTGGCATAACTGCCTGTGGGCAGGCAGGAAGGCAATATTGGCATCATTTTCCAGATGGGAACGTTCCGATGAAAACTGTATGTCCTCCCTTATTCTAGAACAGCGGTTCTCATTCCAGGGCAACTCTGCCCCCTGGGGACACTCGACAATGTCTGGGGACATTTGTAGTCATCAAGACCTGGGGTGGGCTGCCCAGCCAGCATAGCTCAGCGGTTGAGCAGCGACCTATGATCCAGGAGGTCATGGTTCGATTCCCAGTCAGGGCACATGCCCAGGTTTGGGGCTCGGTCCCCAGTAGGGGGTGGGCAGGAGGCAGCTGATCAATGACTCTCTCATAATTGGTGTTTCTATCTTGCTCTCTCCCTCTCCCTTCCTCTCTCTGAAATCAATAAAGACATATTAAATTTAAAAAAGACTTGGGGTGGGCTGATAGCATCAAGTGAGTGGGAGTCAGGAATGCTGCTCAACAGCCTGCACAGCTCCCCAAACCCAGAATGGTCTAGCTACAAATGTCAAGACGTGGAAAACCCCTTGAGATCAAGCCCATCAGGCAGAGCGGGGAGAGTTAAGGCCCAGAGGGACTGGAAAGTGGGGGCCAGGCTATCCTGGGGTCAACATGGGGCAGGGCTGGCACAAGGGAAGGAATGACCCCTTGAAGGAGGGCAAGAGGGAAAGAGTGTGATACTGCGTGTGTGTCACACATGATGATCATGCAGGGCTTGGAGCATGACAGTCAGCATGGGTGTGTGTGGCTGCGAGTGTGTGACAAAATGCGTGATCCTGTGTCCTTTTATTTTCAAATGAATGGTGACTGTGAGGGTGCCCCCTTCTGAGTGTGCAGTTCCAAGTGTGAATGACAACTGAGCGTGTAAGCATGTAGGCTGTGGGTCTGCATGTGATCCTGTCTGCTAAGCCCCGTGTGGGAGGTAATCTCCGTACCGTGTGTGTGTGTGTATGTGTGTGTGTGGCATGAGCTGAGAAACCCCACCCTAGGGGTCTGTGGGGGCAGCTCTGTTTACGTTTCAATTATTTGGCGGGCTAAGCCAGAGCTCTGTGGTTGGGATGCTGGATCTGGGTGGGAGACAGGGAGGCTGAGGTCCCAGGAGGCCAGGGGAGCATACACACACACGCCGAGGCAGCCAAGCTTCAGGGGCCACAAACCCAGGCCTCCAAGACCAACTTTCCTGCTGTATGTCCTGAGCTCAGCAACGTCCCTCTTTGAAGCTAAGGGCCATCTAGGATGGGGAAACTGAGGCTCAGCTTCTGCAGTGTCTAGGGACTCCAGCCTCTCTCCCATGCCGGGCTGAGTCAGCCCAAACAGTGGAGGAATCCACCACCCCAAACCTCAGAGTCAGAATACTGCGGGGGCGGGCAGGGACCCTAGCCAGCCTTGGTCCTGAAGCTGCCTTCCAAGCAGACCACCCACTGGCTGGGTGGAGTCTGGCTGCCAAGCCATGCTCTTGGAGCTCCTTGTCAGTCCTGCCTGTTAGCTGCCTCAAGTTTCTCTAGCTGCAACCGGGGCCCTGGGGAGCAAGGAGTTGAGGGATGTTCCTGCCTGGCTAGGTGATCCTCCTTGGAGGCAGCTTCTGACTCGAGCCCTCTAGCTTCTGGACATGGATGGGGTCTGTAAAGGATGTGGTGGTTCAGGGTGGTCCTGAACTCAGATGTGTGGGAAAGAGGGGGCCCGTCTAGGAAAATAGTAAAAGGAGGGAAGGGGGTGTTCCCTTGGGAGCCCTCAGTCTAAGGGGCTGGAAGGAAAGGGTCCATGCCCCCTGGTCTTCTGGGTGCCAGCCCCGGGCTTGTAGTGCCTACCCCCTCACCCACCCCCCTTCAGACCACGGGACCCACTGATCCTTCCCTGAACTCTGGGAACTCAACACCCTGCGCCCTTCCTCGGCCTGCCAAACGTCAAGGTGACACCATGGGCAAATCTAAACACTGCTCAGTGCTTTTTCCATCCTCTGAGGGGGCTCGTCATAAATCCCCCCTCGAACTCCGGCCAGGGTTTTTTATGGGCTAGGACCTAGATCCCTCGGGACCAGCTCTGCCCCAGCAGGCGCCAGGTTTGAGCTGGACGGGGCTGGCGCCCTCCCCAGACCTATCCCCACAGGGAGATGGGCAGTTTGCGTGTATTTTTAGCTAGTAAAAGGAGATAGTGGCTTAGAGTTCACTCTTGCAGTGGCCTGAGGATGCCCGTCGGGTGAGGGCAGCCCAGGCCCACCTGGATCTGCCTCCTCCTCTGTAGAGTGACTCCCCCTTCCTCTACCAACTTCAATTCTCCCCTTTCCCTCCCCAGAAGGACACACTGTGTGGAAGTGCGGTGGGGTACACGTTGGAAAGACCGGGTCCAGCTGGACCTGTTGCCCCTTCTACACGGTGACTCCACCTTCCCTCCCCAGAAGCACATGTAGCTGGGATACCACAGGCTGGGCAGGAGCACAGGGACCTGCGGGGAGGTGGGAAGTACAGTCCCTGCAGACATTGCCCAGATTCACCCTATTTTCCCACTTGTACTCCGGAAACAGGACCCACATTGAATCTTTCCCCCCAAAGCAAATGGGATCTCCTCACCATCCGGCAGGTGATACCCGCATCCAACCCCTTTCCCAGTGGAGATGGCGCCACTTCCTCACACCTCCGCCTGCCCCTCCAAGAGGTGGACACCCCTGGTGCGCACAACCAAGAGCCAGCTCGATTTTCCACACTTTATCTCTGTACAGTTATCGCAAGTGTCCCGAGGCCTCGACGGCAGGTTCTGCGCACGGGCAGTCTGTGGCGGGTCCGACGGTCGCGGCTGTGGGTGCCTTCGGGGCTGGGTACGCGGCCGCCCCCTGGCCGGGACCGGTGAGGTAGGGTCACACGCAGGCGCACTCGCGCGCCGACAGCTCGTGCACCGTGTGGTAGCGGCTGTGCGCGTCCAGGAAAGACACTTCGTCCTCGTAGGCCGTCGGACGGCAGCAGGGCTGCGCGCGGACCC